TTTGAGATAACTCTTAAATTTAGTTTCATAATCGCAATCGAGACACCTGTACATTTGAACTTGTGAAGGATCTTTATGTTTCAGTTGATGCTGTTTTAAATGACTGTTGTATTTAGTTTTGAAATCGCACTTGTTACACCCATACTCTTCAACCTGCGAAGGAACTTTATGTTTCAGTTGGTGCTGTTTAATATTATTCTTGTATTTAGTTTCAAAATCGCAGTCATTACACCGGTACATCTGAACCTGCGAAGGATCTTTATGTTGCAGTTGATGCTTTTCGAAAAAGCTCCTGTATTTAGTTTCGAAACCGCAGTCGTTACACCTGTACATTTGAACCTGCGAAGGGTCTTCATGTTTCAGTTGATGCTGTTTCAAATTACTCTTGTGTCTAGTTTTGTAATCGCAGTCGTTACACTTGTACATTTGAACCTGAGAAGGGTCTTTATGTTTCAGTTGATGCTGTTTGAAATTACTCTTGTGTCTAGTTTTGTAATCGCAGTCATTACACTTGTACATTTGAACCTGTGAAGGATCTTTATGTTTCTCTTGATGCAGTTTAATATAACTCTTGTATTTAGTTTCAAAATCGCAGTCGTTACACCTGTACATTTGAACCTGTGAAGGGTCTTTATGCCTCAATAGGTGCTTCTGAAGTAATTTCTTATTTTCAGTTTTGTACTCACACGATTCACATTTATATGCTCTCAAATTCTTCTCATGTCTCGTACAGTGTGCCGTAAAACGGATCTCACTTTCAGTTTCGTAGATACATTNGCCTAACAACCACTAGTTTGAAAACTAATAAAGTTTTCTTTGAAAGTATCACAGCATATGGTCCTAAAGTTTAGATATAAGTACTTACATGTATGCAAATTTTAGACTTTTACTACGTTTGATTGACAGGAATAACAATAACAAAATGACATCGAAACGAAAATAACATACGTTGCTCAAAATGTTTGTACAACACGACCAAGAATAGATCAAGTTGCTGCTCTTAAAATCCCTGGGTTATTCCTCACTTGTTGGCATTTATCAATCATTATCTGCCTAATCTCCACTTTATTATTAATTGGTGTCTCTTACACTAAGCTTAAAAGATGGTTCCACATGTAAAAGTCTAAAGGATTGAGATCTGGTGATCTCTGTGGTCAAGAATGTGGTCCTCCACGTTCGATCTACCTATTAACATAGCTTTCATTAAGATACCCTCCGTTTATTCGACTAAAATGAGCAGGACCTTGTTGTCCTGTAAATTTAGGAATATCTTCTAATAGACCTAACAATTCATTACGTAAAAAGTTGGTGTAAACTTCTCCCGTAAGGCGCTCCTCAAAAAAGTAGCGCCCAATTAGTTGATCATCAATTATACCACACCAGACGTTTATAGAAAATCGTAGTTGAAAAGTAGATTCTGTTTTGAAATGAGGATTCTCATCAGACCATTTGTGGGAGTTGTGCATATTGTTCACTCCGTCTCGAGTAAACAGCGTTTCATCGATAAATAAAATAGGTCTCACTAATTGAGGATTTGCTTGAATCCATCAGCAAAAATATACCCGTAAAAGTAAGGCTTGCGGTCCCAGATGATGAACATGTTGTACATGATAAGGATACAATACATTGCTACGTAGTGTTCGCCATACTCTCCAATTGGCGAATTGTGGAGGGTCCCTCAGACTGAAAACTATGCGCGGTCTGTAATGCGCGTCTTGCGATTTCCGCTCATCTGAATTCTCTGGTTTACATATGCCGCGGTAACATCGAATGATTTTCTGGTGACGCGCCCATTTATAATGATTTATCTACCAAGAAAGACACGAAGACAGGTCTCTTAGTCGTATATAGATATGCCGGCATTATATATAGATTAATGTGTAGTAAGTTGTGCCATTAAATCTAAATAGACGACACAAGTTATTAATTGAAAATTATGGCTTATTTCACGGTGCGCTGGAAAAGGTAAACGGTGGCGGCGTACTTGTGACTCGGACGTAATTTATGGTATGTCCCCCTGGAGCTTATTAATATGGCATAAAAATTTAAGCTCGGATAAATAATGCGTAATTATCTAACAGATACAAAAACGGTAGCTGTTTAAATTTAATTGACCTGAACGAGGTACGGATATTGTTTCTACTGGCCCTTTGGTGTAGTTTTTAAATGCATAATGCCCGGTAATTTAAATTTGAACGCCTTGGTAGATACCACGGGTTTATGGAAAGCTGGCCCGGTCAGGGCCGGCCTAGGTGAATTATAAATAAAGAAAAAAAAACAGAAATTATAATTTTAGGTTTAATCATTGCATTACAATTGTTTCTGAAGTAACAAAAATAATTAGGTATAGGAATGGTCATTTGACTTATAAGAAAGTTTTGCATTCGGCAGATACGTGACTTTCAGATATTTGAGGGTTGCTTTCGCTGTGCAGCAAGAATAAAACGCTCTCTCAGCGGTAATAATAAAGTATTTTATTGAAAACTAAGTTTGTGGAAAAGACGTGTTGACGGGGCGAGTGTTCGTTGGAGAGTCCCTGTGTGTGGAGTCGGTCGTAGGTATATCAGTACGCATCTGGTCCTCGGCGCCAGTCCACCATAGACCCTTCCTGGAACGCTGGTAGGTCCGGCGGCGTCCTGCTGGCGCTCTTGACGTAATGCTTAAAAATGGGTCACTCATATGTGTACCTACATATTTGACACTTAATACGCGTTTTCTTCCATATTTCTGTATTTTAATATTGCTGGTAGTTTTAGGTAAACATTTATTACATAGTTGAAATTGTAATTATGAAGAACAGTTGCATACATAACACCAGATCTGTACATGAACAAGTATTTCACAAAAAACTAGTAAAACAACTATTTCTTAACACTTAATATAGTTTGATAACAGTTTAAAAATAGTATATGGATAGTCACGGATACTTTGTGTTTCAAGATTCATTAGTTAAATAAAAATACAAAGTTACCATAATAGTATATGCATTTTATTTACCCTCAAATTGTACTTCGGTGTAATAACAATGGATACACATTATTTTTCCATGAAGAGACTAAAACATTAAAAAAACCTGATACATAGTTGTCAAATGTTAATTATTTCTACTTTTTTATTTGTACCTACTGTAGTTGCAATCAGCTACACTGAAATAGCTCTTTTGAAATCCTGTTAAATACATTTGTAGCTGCCATCTGCACATAAAACTTCTGGGTCGATTTTCCTCTTTCCACATAATTTTTAAGTCTTCATATTCGTGGTACGCTTAAATTCAACAATACTGTCTTCACAGATTCCATCAGGCGATCCTGCTATCGTGAGATAGTTTTTGCAAATCACTATACCAAATTTTTTAATTTTTTCGCCAGTCTGATACTTACAGTTCTCCTCACTTCATCCTCCTACATTGTATCGCGTTTCATGTCCGATACGTCTGAGATTTTTCCTCCCATTATTAACGTGATCAGAGTTGCATCATTGGTTTTGCACCGAATGAATTCAAACGCTCGTGAAGCCGCCACTCTGTTATATTTTAACTCATGCCAAAAACAGCTTTGATGTTGGTCTCGTCTCTTCTTCAACTTTCATGTCATCTTCATGTCAATACGAGTTTCTTCAAAAATATGTCGCAGGATTGTTCTTTGTATTTCAGCACCAATTTATGCATGGATAAACTTTTGATCACAAATATAGTCTTTTTGATATTTTATTAACTCGCAGTTGTTGAGCTGTCTTTTCTTGCCTTCTTTTAAAAACTTTTCAAGTATCTAACGTTTCCTGATTATGGTTTGGGTAACACAAAACTAAGCAACTAATATTTGGGAAACACAAAATAATTAAACGAAGATAAATACTGCAGATATTGTCAAAGTACAGATGACATTTACATAGATGTGACATAATTCGCTCTGATTGGTATTTAACCTATCACGGCGGCTTGCTATATTTTGTAGTTTTATTTTATAAAAAATATTATCAATCTCGCTTATAATATAAAAATAAATACGTTTTTTATAATCCATGAATCCTATTTCATTAGATAAATACATAAGCTGAAAAATGGTTATCGTTGATCACGTTTTAGAAATCGAAAGAAATCCCTGGGGAAATTTTTTTATAATTTTTGCTTCACTTTCAACAGGTCCACGGGTCTTAATATATTTTTTTGGCAGTCCCACATGTCATCTCTTTTAGTTTAATTCATCCTCTTTGAATTGAGCTGTTCAAGACCTTTATAAATTCCAAAATTGTGTATTTGAGGATTTCTGTTACACCTGAGATTGATATTGAAGATATTTTCATTTCGTTTTTAACATTCTGTCAAGAGTTCAAATGGCTGCGATTTTTCTTTCATCGTGAATTGTCAATTAAATAATAAATTTTGCATTAATACTTCTTTTTTAAATTGAAGTTTTTTTCGTAAAAATCTATATATTTTCTTCATCAAAAAGTGTCGTAAAAAAATTAAAATTAGAATTTTTTTTTGGAAAAAAAATTCTTTTCGGAAATATATTTTTTACAATATTCACAATGCTATACAAATATAAAATAAAGCGGTCCTTTTTTTTTAGTGCAGTTTCCACCTTGTTTTCAAACGTCGATTTAAAAATTAATTGCAACAAGTTGTATAGCCCCAATCAATTGCTGTATTTACTTCTATCTCTCTAAAGATCCACCTTTTCATTCAAGAAAATTTCAATTTCTGTCCAAAGTTAATAAATTGATTGAATGAATGAAATTTAGTATAGCTTTGTACCCATATCTGACTCGTAGCCATTCTGATTGTTTTATAACGATCTTACGTATGTTCCCAATAATTTGTTAACCTAAGGCTTAATGATTATATAAAAATTTGTACGATATCGTTTATAATGGACAATCTCATAATTTGTTACAATTAGTTTATCACCAGATGGTACGTATTTAATCATATAAATCGCAAAATGTCTGAACCACGGGCTGTCTTTTTTTAAATTAATGTTAAAATAGTCTCCTCTTACCTCGTTTCTTCATCTTCCGTTTTTATGTCGACATATTCAGCTTTGATTGACATTTCCATCTCGTTAATATCGAATTTCTTTTCCAGGTTTTCAGTCTTAACGAATAAACCAAGTGGAGACGTATCTATTTGACTTCCTGTGGCTGAGCTATCAAAAATACTTTTAATTTTTTCCTGTACTTCCCAGCAATTTTTTAGGAAACTGTTGTGGGTGCACAGAGAATCGAAGCATCTCTTACAAACAACGGGATCTTTGATGATATTTATATTCTACGAAGCAGTTTAGTTAGATTATAAAATATGCAAGTAATTAATATTGTTCATACCATTTCAGGTGTCAATTTCTGAATAGTTTCAAGTTCCTCTTTACGTATGCACCTAAACTCACTTTCTACTGGCTGCATACACAATCGACATATTTTCTGACTGCAAACTAATTCACTTTTCTTTTCCTGCATGTACACTTCTCTTAGGTCGAGCTGTAACATTTTTTCGCTATCCACATAAGGAATAATTGTTTTATCGGTATTCAAACACGTCGACTTAAATTCTGAAGCCGCATTTAACTTTCTTCTGCAAGCGTTACAAATAACCTCTTTTCTCTCTTCAAATTTCTGAAAATATGCAACTTAAAACAGAAAGAAAATAACTGTGGCAGAAAATAACAATTAAATACCAAGTTAATTTACACTCGACTGTTAAGACGTAATCTAATTATAATTCACGTTTACCAATTTCAGCAAAAGACCATCTAGAATGCCTCTGATAATGTTGTTTATCACTTCAAAACTTTCATCGGATATATTTTTAAGGCAAAGCCTACACGACA